ATGGTCTTCTGTGAGACTTCTCATGGATCCTAACATACCTATATCAAAGAAGCTCAGAGCACTTGGCAGAAGGACACAGAAAGGTGGGCTCAGGTGGTCTGAGCTCCTGCTAGAAAAACTGCAGCAGCAGCCCAGAAGCTCAGTATGTTTATTATATAGAACTGGACATGGAGGTGGGTTATTATATAATGATAAACAAGAAGGCATGGCTTATAGTATACACCTGGAACAAGGAGACTGTTTTAGCTAATTTTGGTAGGGGCCATCCCTGTAGGGGAGCAGTCTTTAGGCTATAAGTACCCAGAGGCAAAAAGCCATCATGGACATCTTCTGCACACACTAACAATACTCAAACTTGATTTCCCCAAGGAAGGCTTTCTAGCACTCAGAGCCTGAGGCAATGGAGTCCTTGGTATAGTCATACCTATATTAAGAACCCACATTAATTCAGGACCCCACACACTCAGGGCTTCCTCTGTTCCCTCCACATGCCCATATAAATTCAAAATGCATTTAGTGTAACTTCAGAAGTCCTTCACTGTCTCACTGTCTGAACACTGTTTAAAGTCCAGAGTTCAAAGTCTTTTCTGAGATTCAAGGCAGTCTCTCAACTGTGACTCCCTATACAGTCAAAAAGATATATATTTCTGAGACAGGATTTCTCTGAGTAGTTGTTATCCTGGAACTCACTCTGTAGACTAGGCTGATCTTGAACTCCTAAAGATCTGCCTGCATCTGCCTCCTGAGTGCTGGGATTAAAGGTGTGTGCTACTACTACCTGGCTGGCAAATCATATACTTTTAATATACAATGGCACAGAGTATTCGTTACCCCTAAAAAGGAGGAATTGGAACATAGTGAAGAAACAATGGATCACAGCAAGACCAAAACTCATCAGGACAAACTACAAATCCTGTAGCTCCATATCTATGGTGAAAGGACTTAGAGGACTCTACCCCTCCAGCTTTCTACCTACAATATGCATTTATCTCTTGGGCTGGGTCTACTCCATGTGTGGAGTTCTCCTTGGCTGATATTTCTTGGCTCTGGCATCTCCAATATCTTGGGGTCTCCACGGAAACACAAGTCTCACTTTTTTTTTTTTTTTTTTGGTTTTTCGAGCCAGGGTTTCTCTGTATTGTTTTGGAGGCTGTCCTGGAACTCTCTCTGTAGACCAGGCTGGCCTCAAACTCACAGAGATCCGCCTGCCTCTGCCTCCCCAGTGCTGGGATTAAAGGCGTGCGCCACTAACGTCCAGCACAAGTCTCACTTTCATACCTTTGCACAATGGCTCCTCAGGGACACCTACCCTTTCAGGGTCTTTATGTAGGGACTCATCTGTGCCTGGCCTCAGTGACTCTAAAACTATGGAGGAAGAACCCATGCTTCCTTCACTGTTGTGTCCTCTTGCCTCTGAAGCCAGCATTGCATGGATGATACTGCTGAGGTTGACTGCCAGCTAGGGATGGGCTCTTGCCCCCTTGAATCACATTTGCAGAAGCCTTTGAGTTGTTTTATGTTCCTTTATCACAAGTTAGAAGGGGTCTTACGCTGGAGGCACTCTTCCCTTTATTCCTGTAACAAGCAAGAGACCTCTCCTTAAAGATACTAGTCTCCTTATCTCTCAACTCTAGCCTTGGCTATAACATTAAATTTCTGGTCCTCTTTTTCTCTCCAAACTGTACACATTATAAATCTGCCTAAGAGTCATTAACAATAACCATGCCACATACTCAATATTATGCTGCCTTGGAAGCGCCTCGACCAAAGAAATTAGTCCACTGCCTTTTATGTTAGCTTCCAGCAAGTTCTTAGGGCAAGGGCAGCAAGCAGGCAGATTCATTGCCAAAGTATCAGAGGAATGGTGTCTAGCCTGGGTGATAATACTGTTCCCCTCTGAAATCCCTTGAGTTGGGCATCCATGGTCTTCATTGCTCTCAGCACTGCTGTCTTTCAAGCTCCTAATAGAGACAGCCCTTTAAGCTCTACTTACAGCCTTTTCTACTCCAAAGTCCCAAAGTCTTTCACATTCCTCCAAAAAATAGCAGGGTCAGGTTCTTCAAAGTAAAAACATACCCTCTGGTACCAATGTCTGTAGTAGTTACTTTTCTGTTGCTGTGATAAAATACCATGACCAAGGCCATTTAAAGAAAAGAAGGTTTATTTTGGGTTATGATCCCAGAGGTATGTGTGTGTCTGTAGTGATGAATTGGGGGTGGGGAAAGTAATGGGCATGGTGGTTAGGAGCTCACATTTTGAACTGAAAGCAAGAAGTAGAAGAAATGAAATGGGAGTGCATGGAGTCTCTAAACTCCAACAAGAATGTGCGTCCTACACCGGGAGGGGAACAGTCCCATTCAAACCACCACAACCGTGAGCTCCCTCCCCAGTTCTGGACACTGTTGAAGCGTTGAAAAAGTTCCTAACATTCAGTGTCTGCATGTTATACAGGTGGTCCTATCTGTAATTCTCACATGTGGTATCTATCCCGACTGGAATTTTCTTGCTTAATTTAACTTGTCTAATTTGGCTTTTTTTTCCCTCAGATATGTGGGTGTAATGGGTCTTTCTTTGGACTGCCAGCTCCCAAATAATGACATGGAGGCTTTTTGTTAATTATGAAAGCTTGGCCTTCGTTTAGGCTTGTCCCCAACTACCTCTTATAACTTAAATGAACACATTTATATTAATCTATTTTCTGCCACGCGGTATGGCTCCTTCCTTCTCCTCCATTCTGTATGTTCAACTTCCTCTGTGTCTGACTGGAGAATCTCCCGTGCCTGATTCTTTCCCAGAGTTCCTATCTCTCCCCAGGAGCCCCGGATATTCTCTTCTGTCTAGCTATCAACTGTTGAGTTCTATATTAAACAAATCAGAATATGCAGTAGGTAAGGTTAGACAGAGACACATCTTCACAGTGTACAAAACGATTATCTCAATGTATGGGGAATCCACTTGTATCTTTAGTAATTTAAATTTTTGCAGCTTTTTACTTTTACAAAAGTTACCTTTACTAACTTGCAGTGAAAATTTATGAATCTCTTTGTGAAGTGACTAGAACCTTGCAACCAGAAGAAACAGTATAAAAGTGAGAGCAAAATAATTTTTGGTTTTTTTATAACAAGTAAGATTTTCTTTGATTCAAAAGACAATTTATTTCAATTTATTATCTACATGTTGATGAAGATAAGATCAATGAAAATTTTAGTAAAAAACCAGCAGCAACAACAACAGGGAAATAACAATAATGGGTAAATGAAGAATGTCCCTACTTCCTGTATTACTCTTGGCTCCTTTAACTTCAAAACCAGAGGATGGTTAGAAAAAAAAATCATAAAATATAGTTATGCCATATGAAGACCATTTGCTGTTTGGTTGAAAGCTAAGTGGGTTTTCTTTTTCCTAATTGTTGTTGCTATTACTATTATTATTACTGCTGTCATTATTATTCTTATTATTATGCCAGAGAGATGGCTCAATTGTTAATGTTAGTAGTGCTTTCTGCTGTTGCAGAGGATCTGGGCTCAGTTCCCAGCACGCACAGGTAGCTCACAAATGCCTGTAACTCCAGTTCTGGAAGGCTGACGTACTTACCCAGCTTATGTACATGCATGGTACGTACTCAGGCACACATGCATGCACATAAGATAACTGATTAAATATAAAAACGTATTTAATTTTTATTACATGTGTTTGCATATGTGAGTGTGTGTGTGTGTGTGAATAGTAGTAGTAGTAGGCACATTCATGTGTGTGAAGAGCAGAGGACAACTTGTGGGAGTTGGTTTTCTCCTATTGAATTGAACTCAGATTGTCAAGCTTGGTGGCAAGAACCTATTCACTAAACCTTGACAGGCTGGGGTTTTGTTCAGGAACACACTATATAGAAGAGTAAATAAATGTGTATCCCACACACATAGGAGCATGGCTATCCTTCCGTTGGTCTGTAGCAAACAGACAAAAGGCTGTGGCCCTGCTGTATTGTTTGGAATGATTTGTCATCCTACCCGAGCTCTGTGATCTTCACCTTGGCATTGCAATTACTGCTCTTCCTTGGCTTTGTGCCTGGCCACCAGTCAGGAACCACCTAGGTGCTCTGCAAGGATTAGTCAAATGAGTGAATATATAGCCTCCAACTCAGTTCTTTCCAAAGACTTTGTGCAGCTGAGAAGCAATTTACTAGTATGAATGGATGCGCCTGAGTTCGGCTTGAAAACCACATCTATGTGACTTTTCTGGTTCTGCCGGCTCAGGTATTAATAAAGATTTCCTTAAGCTGTGGGTGGACCAGAACTTCCAGTAAGGGAAGCTTAGTAAACTTCTCCCTCCCTCGGGAATGGGCGTTTGAATTCAGGTAGCATGAAATCAGAGCCGTGCTATGTGTGTACCTCTCAGCCCTGAGCGTGGACTCACGGATGTAAGTCCAGCCTTTCGCTTTGGGTGAAACAGGATGGAATTAGTGAATGCATGTGCTTACCTCTCACTGTCACATATCTTTTTCAAAGTTAGTCATTTGCTTCTGTGTCTGTAGCCAGATAAGACAGAATATTTGAGGGACAGGTTTCTGTCTTCCTTAGTTTGTCTGGAATGGTGCTTGATAAATAATATTATGATTAATACTATTTTGTTGTTGTTGTTATTTGCACATGGGGTGTTATTTTGATTTGCTCAAGACAAGGTCACCCTATGTAGACCAGGCTAGCCTTGAATTTAGAGATCTGCCTGCCCCTGGGTACCCCCCACACCAGTGCTGGGATTAAAAGTGTTTGCCACCACATGCAGCTCAATAAATGGTTTCTGATGGAAATTAATAAAGGCAAATAGAATAACTCCTTCCCTTTGTCCAAGAACATAATTGGTGTTCTTAGTAGTCATCTTGTCTTTGAAGTTGTAGATCTAAACCTATCATTCAAAGTCAGGCTTTTATTGACAAGCATTGAAAGTCACATAAAAGCACTGTCTCTTGATAAATATTATTTTGCATGTTTGGTGTATTCCAGGTGCTTTGTGTCCAATGCAAATGAGACAGAGCTCCGACCTCAATGATGTCACCATATTATTAAACAGGTTAACAGCAGCCATTAGCCAATGATCATCATAGGTAAGTGGTTTTACTTAGAATATCATCTATCTCTAAGATCTTGGATGCTCCAAGAAATTACTGGGATGGGTTATATATTTGTGCTAGTCTCAACATAAGGAGAATAAAATACTGTTCTGACAACACATTTTTTTTCCAGAACTGGAACAGATACTCAGAAATAAGAATCATTGAAACCTTTACCAACAACGTGTGCATTTAGGTAACCAAAGGAAACTGGAGATGCAATGTCATGCTTCCCAGGCAGAAAATTTTCTTTTTAAGGGAAAAATGCTGGGTTGGTAGGTCAGTGACAACAAATAAGGACATTTAAGTCTTCTCATCTTTCAAATATATCAGGAGAAGTTTGTATTTGAGAATAACTTTCTCAGACACCAGGCGAGTGCTGATCAGCTTGTGCTGTAGAGAGAATCGATTGTATTCTCAGCAGGGAGACCTAATTGCTTTGATGATGGAAGAGACGAGAATAGAGCATCCAGAAGGCTTGGAAGAGAGAGGCATTTTTTCACTGATAAGGGTAGATCACACCAACCCAGAGCAGAGCAGAATTACATATTGCACAAGGGTTGAGTGCTAAGACAGTAAATCCTGGGAAGTCTCCTAGGGAGATGTCTCTGCTGGATGCTGCAAAGGATGTACAATGTGTCAGCTTAGTTGTTGGAACTTCTTTTCCTAGAATTCCATTCCATGTATGGTTCTGGGTTGGAACTGGCCACATCCAAAGTTGCTTGCAATGTGGAAGGCAGCAGGGAGGTGTCTGGCATGACTGTTGGGCCCTGAGCCCTCATGCGCGTTGTCTCCTGCCTACTGCTTCCTTTGCTGGCTGTGGGCTGCAGCTGGGCTGTGGCTTCATCGGCCCCAGCCCACTCTCCATGCTGAAAGGCACCTGCTCTTTCTGTAGGCCACCAGTCTTATGGAGGCTGGCATAGTGAGAGGCAGTCATGGAAACCCTTTGGTTCTCTGAGTTCTATCTCACCCATATGGGTTCTGGTTTCTTTGTCCTCTGCTTCACATGCAGAGTTTCTTTTTATATTAGTCTTTCTGAGCTATATCAGCTTCAGGCCCACTGCAGATGCCAGGGCAATGTCCTTTGTACCAATTTCCATAGTGAAATCTACCCCAATCTCCATAGTCCAGGGTCATTCAGAGTGGTCATGCCCTGTAGTTCTTAAGTCCCAAGTGATACACACTGAAGCATGAATCTGTTGGTACATCCACTCACTTGATTTCCATTTTGCCTGCTGTGAGTGACTACCCTGAGTCAAACCACTGCCATCTTGGGGCATTTATCAGTGCCCCTTTGCAAAAGACCATCCCAACTGGGCTTGCTGAGTGTTTATACAACAACCTACACACACACACACACACACACACTCACTCACACAAAAGAGATACATACTCAGACACATGTACACAGAGACACACACATGCAGACATGACACACACAAATGCACATGACACATACACAGACAGACACACACACAGAAATACACAGACATGCTCACACACAGAGACACATACACAGACATACAGAAACATACACAGAGAGACACAAACCACACACAGACATGCTCATACATAGACACATACATAGACTTATACATAGACAGACACACAGAGATACATATACAGACACACAGACACACACACACAGATATACAAAGACATGTACACATATCACATACACACACACACACACACACACACACACACACGTTGAAATAGACATGGGACTCTTGCCTAAGTATTCAGCAGTTCCATACCACCTGACATCTCTGTTTATGGCCTGGGAGAAGGGCTAGAGACAGAGATGGGAGCCCATCTGTGCAGCTAAAAGGGAGCTCTCATCCATGCTGAATGGGGCTTTTCAGGCAAGGCAGACCGGGGAGGAGTGTCCATATTCCTGTAAGGAACCCGTCACGGATGCTTTGTAAGGAAGCCACTAAACTCAGTGGTTCTCCACAGTGGACTTTGTGGAATCCTGCCTGTTTGTGGTTGGGACCTTAGAAGGGGCAGCCATTGCTTGCATCCCACCCCTAGAAATGCCTGTGTTGGCCCCACTCTCTGGTCATTTGATAAAGTAGGTGGCTTGAGTTTTGAACCCCATGTTGTTGGGAAAGTACTTTTTTTTGTTTTGTTTTTGTTTTTGTTTCTTAAGACAGGGTCACACTCTAGTCCAGACTGATGTGGAACTTACTTTGTGGCTCAGGCTAGTCTCAGCCTCCCAGTGATCCTCCTACCTCTCTGCCTTCCTGGGATTATGGGTCATTTATCTCCTGGGTGCCCTTGCACAATGGGGAGCTGCATTCACTCTTGTCCCTTCCTCTCTCTCTGTCTCCTTAGCCCCCTAAATATTCACTCCCAAATGGGTACACTTTAAGATTTGCTTGGTTGCTACTTCAAAGCTGTAACTTGAGCAGATTGCTGCTTTGGACCTTGTCGGTGAAATGAAATGAGCAAGCCCAGACCCCCCCCCCCAAGACATGGGAAATGTGCGGGGAGGACTGGGGGAGGACCCACCAGCCTGCTGTTCTGGAACAAGAGCAGGGTATTCTGGGGAGTACATGTGTGGTAACAGATCAGATCCATCACCCCAGTGTTGTGTAAATCTTGCGCTTGGCGGTGAGTTTTAATTAATGAACTGCCTACCTTGAGGCTGGGTTTCTTGATTTATAGAGATTTAGTTTCACTCACATTCTGCTTAACCAAGTCTAGAGACCTGGGGCTTCACTGTTTCAACCAAAACCATACTCCCTTGATAATATTTAAGCTTTCTCAATGGGGGAGGTATTGCAAATCTAACCTTTGATCTCTTTTTTTTTTTTTTTTTTTTTTTTGGTTTTTGGTTTTTTCGAGACAGGGTTTCCCTGTGTAGCTTTGGAGGCTGTCCTGGAACTAGCTCTGTAGACCAGGCTGGCCTCGAACTCACAGAGAGATCTCTTTGATTTCTATTGAACTTTAAAAATCCAGTATCTTCTGCTTCACTCCTTACCTAAAAGCCCCTCAGACTCTCTTTGTCTGGAAGAGGTTTCACCCTGTCCACTTGACACATGGTCTAAAGAATTCTACTTGACTATAAGGAGTCTTTCTTTGTCCCATCAGCTAGTTCCGAAATAATGACACGGAGACTTCTTATTAATTATGAAAGCTTGACCTTATCTTAGGCTTGTTTCTAATGAACTCTTATAACTTAACCTAATCCATTTCTATTAATCCATGTTCTGTCATGTACCACCCATCTTTCTTCTTCTGTGTCTCTTCCAGTTTCCGATTTCTCTTCTTCTTCCTCTCCCCGGAAATCCTGGCTGTACTTCCTGCCTAGCCATTGGCCATTCAGTTTTTTTTATTACACCAATCACAGCAAATACATCTTCACACAGTGTCCAAATATCCCACAACACTTGACCAACCATTTTCCCTGAGTTCCACTGTCCCAAAGAGGCCAATGTTCAGGGTGGCATTGAACCCACACCTTGGTGGCCACACTTTAACTGGGGTCCTCTTGATTGATGGGCCTCACATGCACTGGGAGTGTCAAACGAACTCACAGCCTGGGCTGTTTCTAGTTCTAGCCTGTTGCTTCCTGCCTTGTCCAGGGACTGCAGCTTGCTCTACCTACCATGGTGACTTCAAAGTGATGCTTCTAATTAGCAGCTAACAACAGATACAGACTTCTCTAATTTTTTTCCAGCCTTACTAAGAGCAAGGTTGTGTAGTAACTTTATTGGAGTTCAGGAAAAAACACAGGAAATCGAAGGAACTCATAGCTAAATTTGGGGACTCTTCAGGTACTCATTGGGGATCATAGTTCTAGCCTGTCATAATCTTTTTTTAATTTAGTTTATGTGTATGGTGCTTCGCTTGCTTACATTTTAATGTGCCACATGTGTTTCTGGTACCTGAAGAATGCATCAGATCCCTTGGAACTGATGCTATGGATAGTTGTGAGGTACCATGTGGGTGCTGGGAACCCAATCTTGGTCCCTGGTAAGAGCAGCCCTCCATCTCTGGGATATCCAAAGAGTCCTCACTCCCCAACTTAGTTCTCCTCAATTTAGCTGTCATCTGCTGCCCTGCTGAGGACATCAACCTTTCATGCCACTAATCATGCAGCCTGGGTGTGTTGAGCTCTCAGCTGGAAAAGTTCAGCCCAAAAAACTTCACTCTGTGGCTCCAGTCTGAGGTCTTGCTCCCAGTTCTGAACCCACCCTCTCCCAGAGTCAGCAGCCTATTTCATGAAAAGACAGCTCATGCCCCAGCCATGGGACTTCTTTCTTAAAGTGAGCCAGGAGGAACACAGCATCCCTGCTCTGTGCTGTGGCTAAACAGACCTAAGAGAGCTACTTCCTCTTATTTCCCTCTTCCAAATTACAGAGAGGAACCCTTTCTTGTTGTGGAATACTCCCTTACACTGTGTGAAAATATGCTGTGGAATAGTCCCTTCGTACACTGTGAAGATTTGTCACTGTGATTGGTTTAATAAACAAGCTGGCTGGCCAGTAGCTGAACAGAATAAGTTTAGGTGGGAGAGCCAAACTGAGAATGCTGGGAAGAAGAAAGGCGGCTTCTGGAGTCACCAGCCAGAGGCAGAGGGAGCAGGAGATGAATGTGCCGTGCTAATAAAGGTACTGCCACTTGAAAAGCATAAATACAAATATGGGTCAATTTAAGTGTAAGAGTTAGCCAGTAACAAGCCTGAGCTATTGGCCAAGCATTTATAATTCATATTTGGCCACTGAGTCAGTTATTTTGGGACCAGACAGCCAGGACAGGAAATGTCTGATTACAAAGATATGTCACTGTGAATGGTTTAAGAAAAAAACTAAATGGGCAATAGCAATAGGCAGGATTTTCAGGGCAGAAAGAACACTGGGAGGAAGAAGGTGGAGTCATGAGGAGACACCAGGGACACAGAACACGCAGCATGAGCATTACAAAGAAAAGGTAACTGAGCTACATAAAGGAATGTAGATTAAAAGAAATGAGTTAATTTAAGTTAT